GTAATGACAATTATGGGACGATAGAATTACAGATATCACACCTGTCCCAAAATTGTTGGTACATTTAATGTATGAAATATAAATGTAATGACAATTATGGGACGGTAGAATTACAGATATCACACCTGTCCCAAAATTGTTGGTACATTTAATGTATGAAATATAAATGTAATGACAATTATGGGACGGTAGAATTACAGATATCACACCTGTCCCAAAATTGTTGGTACATTTAATGTATGAAATATAAATGTAAATGTAAGGACAATTATGGGACGATAGAATTACAGATATCACACCTGTCCCAAAATTGTTGGTACATTTAATGTATGAAATATAAATGTAAATATATGGACAATTATGGGACGGTAGAATTACAAATATTACACCTCTCCGCAATTTCCTGGTATATTCAGTGTATGAAATATACATACAAACGCAACAATTTTTCTGGAAAGAAAGGTTGAAATGAAAATCAATAATGAATGGTAACTCTACACATTCGTGACTAGGGCGAATATAAATATAAGTCTAGTTTCTGAAGATCAGTCTATTAGACAATACCTCCCTATTGTCTTAAAATTTTAAAATCAGTAAGATCCTATCCACCAAGATGCTTGCGGCAACATGCTGTTGGATCGTGGCAATTTTTGTACATCCAATATAAGAAAAAACACTTTTCTTTTTTAAATCAATAATTTCAGTACGTAGACGATCATGGCCCTCCCATGATTCATTTCTTATTTATTGTTTATGAATTGCAATGCTTTCCTTCTCGTAAACTGGTTGCCACACAAAGCTAGAGATCCTAGTCTACCCTGTTATTTAACCACTAACTGCTGAAAGAAAGGCATTAATGCGATCGTGAACGGGGGGGGGTTAGCTCGTAATTTGAATTCGGCTCGTTGATACCAATTAAAAAGGCAAAGTGAAGAGCCTGAACATCTTTTAAGTCACTAGTTAATTTGGTGATGGTTGCGCAGGGGACATTTGAAGAGAGAAAATGGCGGCCAACTCAGAACAGTTCAGTAAATAATATTATGGTCAAGATTGATAGGAATACAGACGGGATACAAATATATCACCTTGAAAACCAACAGTTGGAGTACCATCGGCACGTAACAAGCTGGAAAATTTTCATAGGTGCCTTAATTTCAACTGGTGCTGCGATAACGGCACTTTTGTGAAAAACAAAAAAACAAAAAAAAAAAACACAATGTGCACGTTCTTACTACCGAGACATATTCTCCATACTGAGGGAAGCTAATTTTAAATTTCATTTAAAGTGTTATGGTCCGGTTCCTTGTACCACGGTGATAGTCCAAGGAAGAACCAATAAAGAAGAACTCGAACACGGATATGGAATAACACAGATATATTAAAAACAGGAATATATACAGAGAAGTAGAAAGTGTTAGTACGAACAACCAGGTTCAGTAAGGAGAACAATGTAGTCTCGACCAGTATCACTATTCCAATGTCTTGTAGTAATTGTCTGAACGCGACTGTTTCGGACTGCCTCTGACTCGACTGACTGACTCGCTCGCTCTGACTGACTGACAGACTCCTGACGGACCTCACTCCAGACTTCAGACTGAACTCCCTGCTTCCTCTTGAGGCGCAGTATTTATTACGTATGGAATAGTCCATTATGTTATTATGGGTAAGGTCTCATAACATAAAGTTATTGAAATCTATTTACATTAAGTCCGACCAGTCATCTCTCTGTGAGCAGATGGTGTTGTCGTTAGCGCATAATGTTAGCCGCTAATTGTTATATATTTTATATAACACTTGGTCTGTGCATATTTCTCATCCTTGATTGAGGTTTGATTAAAGGGGACCGATAACCAGTTTTACCGGTTTTGTTAATCTTTGTTTTCGATATTACAATTTTACTGTTTATGTTATATTTTTTATTACCTCTTTTCGGTTGTTTTTCTTTTTCTTGTTTTAATATCTCTGTTTTTTTTATTCATGGTTGATTGTCGGGTCGAAAGAAGACTGGTTTTTTTGCACTTCTAAAGTGGATCCGGTGGTGACTTCACAAACCAAGTCTGCAGGCGCAGACTCTAGAATAATGAGGACATATCAATGTCAAAGTTGCATTGTCGCGCTGTTTTCATGAATATTGATTTTTGACGTCGGGCTTCTTCAAAGTTTACACAGGCTCAGGGGACAATGACACGCCAATGCGATCGGTCGGCAGCACATACCTCTCTAGCCCCTTACACCAATGGACGTCACTTTTGATTGCACCTTTGAAAGGTTTCTTTGGTCGACCTTGATGTCTTCTGTCACATAGCAGTTATCCGTACAACAGACGTCTGAGAATATAATGTTGCTCTATCCTGACGACAAGGCTAGTCTATTGAACTTGAGCCCTCATGAGCAATGATTTGATGCTGGTCGATTTCACACGGTTTAAAATGTCATGGTTGAACCCGTTTTTTCATCATTTTAATTAAAAGAACAAAGTTTATAAACTCAACCGGATCACATTATCGAGAAAGGAAAACCAAGCCTAGTCATTGCAAACACGTAGAATAACGAAGAGGCAAATAGAATTCAATTGGCCTTTTATTTCGACTTCCGTAAGTTTCGCGTTTAGTATCAGAAATTGGGTGGGTAGCGTACTGGTTATCGGCGCCGAAACTAGACTCGGAGAAACCGGGTTCAAAATCGGGTCTAGTCGGTGGCGTTCACTTTCGCCCCAGTAACCTTGGCAAAAAAAAGAAAAAAGAAAAAGAAAAAAAAAGACAATCTGCACGGTCTTACTACAGAGATATATTCTCCGTACTGAGGAAGGCTAATTTTAAATTTCATTTAAAGGTATTGGGATCTATTTACATTAAGTCCGATCAGCCATCTCTCAGATGGAGTTGTTGTTAGTCGGTGGCGTTCACTTTCGCTCCAGCAACCTTGGCAAAAAAAAAAAAAAGACAACGTGCACGGTCTTACTACCGAGACATATTTTCCGTACTGAGGAAAGCTAATTTTAAATTTCATTTAAAGGTATTGGAATCTATTTACATTAAGTCCGATCAGCCATCTCTCAGATGGAGTTGTTGTTAGTCGGTGGCGTTTACTTTCGCTCCAGTAACCTTGGCATGAATCGATCTCGTCTCTTCTGACCCCTCTCCGAGTCATGTTTTAAACAGATGAATATACCAGACTTTCAAGCCTTGGGTAGCGGTTAGTCTAGGATAAAATATACTTTGATTTCGAAACAGGGGTTGAGGAAGCAGCGGGTAGCAGCTTTAATATTTTTCCCAAAAAGTCATGAAAATTCCCAGATCACAATGGAAAGGATTTTGTGAGAATCCATTATATCAGACTTCCTGGAGAATCTGGTATTAAAAAGAAGAAGTTAAAAGTTAGTTTTGGAGCCTAAATAAAAGCCATAAAAATATAGATGCTGATTTTCTAGAATGTTGTTAAATTGCAAGCGTTGAGGGAAACATCTAACAGATTGCTCTCCCAAGAACTACGTGGTTACAAACAGAGAAGGCGACAGGAAACAAAACAAGACTGCCTCAGAAGCAGACACGCAACTTGAGGGACAAAAATATCCAAGGGAACGAATTCACAAGAGAGCGATTCTCACCAACTATTGACTGCTGGTTTTTCCGTCGCTTCTGTTGGCATGAGATAGCTGATTAAGATCCGAGTCTGGACAAATTGCAGAGAGGCCCGTATCTAGGTAGTCCCAGATGTACTCTGCTAACGAGGAAAACCCGGGCGTAACTACTTTGGACAGACATGCCCACACGTAAATCGGAACCTCTTTTACGTCTGTACTGACGTCCGTTCGCCAGTTTTCGCATCTTTTGGTGAAATGAAACCTCATTAATCCTAATTTCCACAGTTTTCTTAATAAAGCACTACGGTCTATTACAGGTGTGTCCAAACCGCGGCCCGTGAATCACAGACGGCTCTATGACCTTTAACATGCGGCCCGTAATTCCCCATGTATAATACGCATTTTTTTTTCTAAAATTAATAAGCAAAATTAGGGGGGTGTATTATGCACATCTATAAAAAATCCTTAAAAAATTTACCGTTTCATAGGTCGATTTCAGTTGCGAAACGACTACTCACCACATACATACAATTTCACACTAATATTCAGCGATTGCGACCCCATAAGGATGTGAAATAAAATCATAAGTATCTAACAATACTTACAAATGTAAAATAAAATAAGAATTATCATGAAAATAAATTCGAATAATATTATTCTATGTTTAAAACCATTTTTAATAAGAGTAGGAAACGCTGGCCGTAATATTGGAGAGGTATATTTTATAGTTTGATTACCAAACAAGGGGTGCGTTTTATGCTTGAATAGAAGCATTTTCCCCACACTTTCAGCACAATTTTAAGGGTGCGTATTAGGGATGAAGGCGTATTATACATGGGGAATTAATGTATGTTGGTTGAGCTTCTTTTTCATCGTAGTTAATATGAAAGGAAAATAAGAAAAATTTCAAGCTTTATAATTATTTATAGGTATGAATTGAGATCCCATTGCATTAAAATATAAGTTTAATGTTAATGTGTATGTAGCAAAAACGTATGTGTAAATGTTGTTCATGTCTTGCTGCTCTCAAACATCTGAACTTTATCGTATGCGGCTCTTACATTAAGCAAGTTCAGCTATCCTCGGTCTATTTCATATGAAAGAAATATTTAAGCATTTAATACTGATGCCGATGGACCGTTTTTTGTTTTATTTTCGCATTTCTTTAACCTTTTGCGTCTTATTTAAAGGCAGAAGATATTTTTCTAGATTGTAAGAATGTTATAGAGATAATAATGATTTATTGATATAAGCTCAAATAATTAACCCATAGCCGTGGGGAGTTGGGGAGAAGAGGTCTGTTCGTATCTTTCTCGTAAGTGAATACAACATGCCCGACGGGGATTGAAACTCGGCTCTCCGATTTCCAATTCCGAGCCGTTATCCATTACACCACCCGCACATCCAAGCTTATTATCCTGGTATCCCCAAGCGGATACCCATCTAGGTACGGATCAGGCTCGACGTTGCTTAACTTCGGCGATCGTACGGGAACCGCTGATTCAACGTGGTATTGCCGTAAACCTACTGGTGTCAAAACTAGGATTTTTAAAAGCTTTTTAGTCGTCTTAATAAATAGGTATTGTCCACCCCGTTGAAGAAATAGATATGACACTTTACTGACAGAAATCTTCTCTGGCGCCAGAACGGAATTTTATCGGCGCCTGTTCTGACAGGATCTTGCAATGGAAGACGACTAACCGATTATGATTCCAAAATCCAAAAAAGATAATCTGGGGAAATCTATTCTTGTCTGATGTCATTTCTGTTACCATGGAAGTCTTCAGCGTCTCTCCTATCCCAAGAAGACAAATCACGTTATTGCAATATAGAAGCACAAACAATGCAACAGTTCTAAAAATATGTCTCCAAAGAGAATCTATCTATCTATCTATCTATCTATCTATCTATCTATCTGTTTCTGTTTGTTCTTTATCTATCAGTCTGTTCATATCTATCTATCTATCTATCTATCTCAGTCTGTTCATATCTATCTATCTATCTATCTATCTATCATAGTGTCTTTATATCTATCACATTTGTTCAGACTTATCGATCTGATTATATCCATTCATTCTACCCCAGTTTCTTCATATCTATCTATCTATCTATCTATCTATCTATCTATCTATCTATCTATCTATCTATCTCAATCTGTTTGTATCTATTTATCTATCCCAGTCTGTTTCTATCTATCTATCTATCTATCTATCTATCTATCTATCTATCTATCTATCTATCTATCTATCTATCTCAGTCTGTTTCTATCTATCTATCTATCTATCTATCTATCTATCTATCTATCTATCTTAGTGTGTTTATATCTATCACATTTGTTCAGACTTATCGATCTGATTATATCCATTCATTCTACCCCCATTTCTTCATATCTATCTATCTATCTATCTATCTATCTATCTATCTATCTATCTATCTATCTATCTATCTATCTCAGCCTGTTCAAATCTATCTATCTATCTATCTATCTATCTATCTATCTATCTATCTATCTATCTATCTATCTCTGCGTGTGTGTGTGCGTGTGTGCGATTTATTTATTGGTCAAGTTGAGGCAAAGAACTTTTCCTTCGACTGCTGCATTTCTCCACACTGCTGAAGCTTTCACGAGTTAAGATTGAATTTCAGTCTATTTTTGTCGCGAAACATGGAAATAAATAGGGCTGAACTGCTATGAAATATCATTCAATTCCCCGGCATGGCAGAGAGTACTGGTCAGTTGAAGAAGTCGCTTTGATGTAACAGAAATTAGTTTCTCCAGAACGATGCTGTAATTATGTTTTGGCCAAGCCATTCTAGGGCCTTCTTCCGGTGTTCAGTCTGTTAGAAATATATCTTTTTTCTTTTCCGAGCCCAAACTAGAAAATGATAACCAACAGAGGGGAAGAGACAGAGAGAGAGAGAAAAGAAGCAGAAGAAGAAGAAGAAGGAGGAGGAGGAGGAAGAGGAGGAGGAAGAAGAGGAGGCGAAGAGTAGGAGAATAGCAAAGAAGAAGAAGGAGGAGGAAGAGTAGGAGAGGAGCAGGCGAAGAGTAGGGGAGGAGCAGAGAAGAAGAATAATAAGGAGGAGGAGGAGGAGGCGAAGTAGGGGAGAGCGGAGAGAAGAAGAAGAAGAAGAAGAAGAAGAAGAAGAAGGAGGAGGAGGCGAAGAGTAAGAGAGGAGCGGGAGAGGAAGAAGCAAAAGAAGAAGGAGGAGGAGGAGGAGGAGGAGGTGGAAGACGAGGAAGAGTAGGAGGAGACGAAGAGTAGGAGAGGAGCGAAGAAGAAGAAGAAGGAGGAGGAGGAGGTGGAAGAGGAGGAAGAGTAGGAGGAGACGAAGAGTAGGAGAGGAGCGAAGAAGAAGAAGAAGAAGAAGAAGAAGAAGAAGAAGAAACGAGGAGGAAAGTAAGAAAGAAATTGGTGCCGGGTACCAATAAACGTAGGAGGGGGGGTGAGAAAGTGGGGAAAGAATAGAGAGCAGGGAAAGAGAGAGATTCTTTTCATTTCGATTTGATACTGAAATCCGTGAATGGATTTGCAAATAGATAATAATAAAAAGCAACAAAAAGCATGAATGTTCGAACACCATATAAAACTGGAATTCAGGATTGTAAAATGCTGACCGAAACTAAGTTCTGAATATAAATGTTTCGACATTAAATAGTATTATTCGTATGCAGAGCTATGAAAATTATAAAAAAATCTCTTAGCTGAAACAATTCAACCATAATAAGGTAAAAGGTTAGTTGCAAGTTTGATTGATGTTGACAGTGGGTTATTTCCAACATTAAATATTCAGAGAACCGAAATTCAAATTAAAAATCAGACATCTGACAAGAAAGAACAGTGATCCGAAAAAAAATCTCCAAGAAAATAATTTCTGTTTCAACTCGTCACATACTTTAAAATAAAATATTGGTTCAACGTAGATAAATGGTTTTCTGGACAAATATCAATGATGAAAGCCACTGCAATAATATTATTAATAATAAAAAAATAAATAATAAAAATAATATTAATAGTAATAATATTAATAATAAAAAATAAATAATAGCAATAATATTAATAATAAAAGCAACAAAAAGCATGAGTGTTCGAACCCCATATAAAATTAGATCTTAGCTGTAATAATTCGACCTTAAAAAGGTTAACGGTTGCCTGGAGGTTTGGCTGATGTTAATATTGAACACCTTCCCCTCACGAGGGTGTATGTGGCACAAGACAGGTTTATTGTGGGTACTATGAGCCCGTAGGCTCGGCCAAAAATATTCCCTTTGAACCCGCCTAAACGGGTTCAGGGACTGTCTACCTCCTCGGACGAAACGTTTCCCTGCGGTAAAGCTTTGTCCGAGTTCCTCTGTGCCAAAGCAAAGAGTTCGACAGATGAACAATCTATACTACTGTTCCCTGTTCAGGTTTGGTTGATGTTGACAGTGGACTATTTCCAGTATTAAATATTCAGAGAAACTAAATTCAAATTAAAGATCAGACATCTGACGAGAAAGAAGTCTGAGAAAAGCGATCCGAAGAAAAATCTCCAAGAAAATAATCCAACTCGTTATATACTGTAAAATAAAATTTTGGTTCAACATAGATAAATGAAGTGTTATTTGATTAGAGGTGGGTGTTAAGGAGGAAAAAAATGACAACTTAGAAAAATAAATAAAGAATTTATTTACAATTCAGAAACCTGTTGTTTTAAGATGAATTATCGTCATTTCAAAAATTGTTTACATCCTCATTTTCATTCTTTTGTTGCTTTTATTGTATCCATGTTTTGGTCAAGCCATTCTATGGCCTTCTTCATGTGAACATTATGTACAGAGAGATTTTTTTTCTTTTCAAATAGTTTTTACATTTCTATTCATATTTCATACACAAAACAGAAAAATTATTATGGGATGGAACGGATATTTTCTATTCATTTTGTCTCATAATAATTGTTACATTTGCATATACATTTCATATATTAAATGCACCAACATTTTTGGGACAGAAGAGGGATTTAAAATCATTTAATTTCAAATTTGAACAGCGTTCCTTCTCTTTCTATAGTGATTTGGTTCCATTTTGAAATCAAATATTGCAGCGGCTTTTGTCATCAGCAAATATTGCAGCGGCTTTGTTATCAGCAAATAATGCAGCGGTTTTTATCATCAGCAAATATTGCAGCGGCTTTAATCACCATCAAATATTGCAGAGGCTTTTATCATCAGTAAATATTTCAATGGCTTTGTAGTCAGCAAATATTGCAGAGGCTTTTATCATCAGCAAATATTGCAGCGGCTTTTATCATCAGCAAATATTGCAGAGGCTTTTATCATCAGCAAATATTGCAGAGGCTTTTATCATCAGCAAATAATGCAGAGGCTTTTATCATCAGCAAATAATGCAGAGGCTTTTATCATCAGCAAATATTGCAGAGGCTTTTATCATCAGCAAATATTGCAGAGGCTTTTATCATCAGCAAATAATGCAGAGGCTTTTATCATCAGCAAATATTGCAGAGGCTTTTATCATCAGCAAATAATGCAGAGGCTTTTATCATCAGCAAATATTGCAGAGGCTTTTGCAAATAATGCATTTTATCATCAACAAATATTGCAGAGGCTTTTATCATCAGGCAGGGCTTTTATCATCAGCAAGTATTGCAGAGGCTTTTATCATCAGCAAATAATGCAGAGGCTTTTATCATCAGCAAATATTGCAGAGGCTTTTATCATCAGCAAAACATTTGTCTACCAGTCTGTCGTGAACATAAATTTTATTTTGAAGTATGTGGCCAATTGGAAAGGAAATTTTTTTCTTGGAGATTTTTGTTCTGATCATTTCTCTTACATTGATTTCTCAGACTTGCTTCTCGTCAGATGTCTGATCTTTAACTTGAAATTCAATTCTCTGAATATTTAGTGTTTGAAATAATCTACTGTCTTTCAGCTGGCCAATTTCATATGAACACTTAATGATGGACAACTGAGTTGTTGGGGAGAAAGAATGAGGAAGGAGACAAAGGAAAAAGGGTGGCTTTTTTCACATGGATTTTACACCTGAAGAAGGTTAGAGAACAGGTCATTTAAAATGTAAAAAGAAGACCAACAAAAAGAATGAGAGTTTGAACAATACATAGATTTCAGGACTGTAAGAAGCAGTTCTGAACATAAATGTTGTATAATTAAATAGTATTATTTATGTGTACAGCTATGAAACTTATAAAAAGATCTTAGCTGTAATAACTCAACCTTAATAAGGTAAAAGGTTGGTTGAAAGTTTGGATGATGTCTTCATATGAAATTGGCTAATAATTTCCTTTCCAATTGTCCACATACTTCAAAATAAAATTTAGGTTCACGACAGACTGGTAGACAAATGTTTTGCTGATGATAAAAGCCTCTGCAATATTTGCTGATGATAAAAGCCTCTGCAATATTTGCTGATGATAAAAGCCTCTATTTGCATGATAAAAGCCGCTGCAATATTTGCTGATGATAAAAGCCGCTGCAATATTTGCTGATGATAAAAGCCTCTGCAATATTTGCTGATGATAAAAGCTGCTGCAATATTTGCTGATGACAAAGACACTGCAATATTTGCTGATGATAAGAGCCTTTGCAATATTTGCTGATGATAAAGACACTGCAATATTTGCTGATGACAAAGCCACTGCAATATTTGCTGATGATAAAAGCCTCTGCAATATTTGCTGATGATAAAAGCTTCTGCAATATTTGCTGATGATAAAAGCCTCTGCAATATTTGCTGATGATAAAAGACGCTGCAATATTTGCTGATGATAAAAGCCTCTGCAATATTTGCTGATGATAAAAGCCTCTGCAATATTTGCTGATGATAAAAGCCTCTGCAATATTTGCTGATGATAAAAGCTTCTGCAATATTTGCTGATGATAAAAGACGCTGCAATATTTGCTGATGATAAAAGACGCTGCAATATTTGCTGATGATAAAAGCCTTGCAACATTTGATTTGCGGAACTAAATCACTATAGAAAGTTTGGATGATAAAAAACGAAATGCAATTTTTTTATTTGCTGATGATAAAAGACGCTTTAATATTTGCTGATGATAAAAGCAAATGCAATATTTGCTGATGATAAAAGACGCTGCAATATTTGCTGATGATAAAAGCCTTTTTCAATATTTGTATGATGATAAAATAGAAATTTAAAACTTTATGGGACAGATGATGAAAATTGTTATTGATATTTAATCATTTGCTTGACTTTCCTAATTTTTTAAATATTTACCTGATGATAAAAACCGTTCTGCAAACCTTGCTTGATGATAAAACCTTCCTATAATATTTGCTGATGATAAAATATGTCTAGAAATATTTGCTGATGATAAAATACTCTGCAATATTTTTTGATGATAAAAGACGCTGCAATATTTGCTGATGATAAAAGCCTCTGCAATAGCAGCTGATGATAAAGATGAATAGGTGACTTGAATATTTGCTGATGATAAAAGCTTCTGCAATATTTGCTGATGATAAAAAGCATGTGCAATATTTGAGCAAATGATAAAAAGGATGCTATTTGCTGATGATAAAAGTTGCTGCAACATTTGATTTCAAAAACGGAACTAAATCACTATAGAAAGTGTATCGCGCTGTTCAAATTTGAAATTAAACAATTTTTAATCCCTCTTCTGTCCCATAAATGTTGGTACATTTAATATATGAAATGTATATCCAAATGTAACAACTATTATGGGACAGAATGAATAGAAAGTATCGGTTCTGTCCCATAATAGTTTTTTTCCTTTTATGTATGAAATATGAATAGAAATTTAAAAACTATTATGGGACAGAAGTTTCATGAAGAATTGTTATTGATATTTAATCATTTTCTTTGACTTTCCTAATCGATATTTTTTATTTATTTCGACCTGTTATTTTTCTTGTTGTTCTGGAAAACCTCAATTGAAATACAACCTCTGTCCTATAATAGTTGGTGCATTTAGTGTATGAAATATGTATAGAAAATGTAACAGCTATTATGGGACAATACATTGTAATATAATTTTAGATTTCTTATGGAGCAAAGTCACTGAACTTCTACGCAAAACCAACCCTTTTATATAGCAGTGAATGCTGGACAATTCCCTAACAGATGAATAGGTGACTTGAGGCATCAAATATGTGGTACTACAGGAGGATTCTGAGAATACCATGGACGAAGCATGTAAGCAACGTAGTTTTGAGCAAAATGGAAACAAAAAGGATGCTTACAATAAAAAAAAGAGTCTGTTGTAATTCATAGGACAAATAACAATACTTTATTTAAAAACGGCAAATCAAAATGGAGTCACAAATGCGTTCTATCGCGCAGCCTAGATTTGCTGTAGATTAAACAATATAGGGATTTTCTAAGCATAGACTACATGTGGCACAATGGCGAACTTATCGAGCAACCAATGAGGATCGAACTCACTATTCAGTCAGTTGATCTAGTGAGACATGCTTGCTAAACATGACACCACGTTGAA